TAATGGGAGTAGAGACCAACCAGTTTGGATGCTTAATCCTAGAGTGACTTTCTCCATTAGATCTTTCTACAATCATTTGAATAAAAGAAGCCATGGGTACTAATTTTCCATTTCAGGAAATCTGAAAAGTTAATGCTCCATGTTGCTTTTTTTGCTTAGGAGGCTGGTAGAGCTTGTATTCTAACTCTGGACCAGAAATAAGAGAGTCAAAAAGTATGTTATTGATATTTCCCTTGCTACGTTTGGATGGTATGAAAAGGAAAAAATAAGAGAGCTTTTGAGGGCGTGAAAAATGATTTTGATATGCTAAAACATAGATGGTTCTAGACCCTAAGTTTTTTTTTATTATAGTCATCCTCTCTATTCATTTGAGGACTTTGGGAACTTTATTGGCATTTTGATTGATATGTAGATAACATTCTACATGGATTTGAACCCTCTTGGTGCATGTGGATGAATCATACCATACTATTTTTATTTCAAAAAAAAGATAGTAAAGAAAAATAGGATTTTTGTTACAGGAATGTTACCTCTGTCATATTGGAGAGGGATGTTATCTTTGCTTCAGCAGCATCCAGTTTAACAGTTAACTCTCTCTTTTCATGTTGAAGCTCTCTATTCTTCCTCTTAAGTTCCATAACTTCTACTTCTAACTCCTGAACGGCTTTCAGCTTCTTCTCCACCTCAGCATTTTTTTTTATGGCTTCTTCCTCTTTGGCCTGAAGACCAGAAACCTGTTGCTTGAGTAACAACAACTGTCCTTTTGTCTGGTTAGCATCAAGCTGTATTTGCCTCTGCAGCTCCTTGATCTTGTTCCTCGCTAACTCCAGCTCCTTCTTCACAGAAGCACTCCGTAAAATTTCTTCTTGAAGCTTTTTCCTCTCAGCTTGCAAGGAGTTTATAGTAATATTGAGCATGTCAATCTCAACTGTCTTGATCTTGAGCTGCCTTTGTAATTCAACAATATTCGTCTCCTGCTCCTTTAAGCCATAGTACTCGAGCAACTCGCCCTCTAGCTTTACTTCCCTCTCTTCCAATTCTTTCACTAAGTTGCGCAACCGCTCTAATTCACTTGCATTGTTTGCCATCTCAGTTTCATAAACTTTATCTTTCTCTGGTGCAGTGAATTTATTAGTAGGTAATGGGTATTCAATCTCCCCAGATAGAAGGTCTTCAAATTCAGGCAAAATGTCTTCATCATCAACATCTGGTGCATTACCATGAGCCCGGTTGAATATTCTGCTAATCAATTTAACCTCTTCTTCCTCCTCTTCCTCCTCCACCTGCAACGTTTGATCATTTAGAAGGGTAAACAATAATTGAGAATAGCTTCTATCTCCATATGGCAACATATGAAACATGGAGGTGATCACATTGTAAAACAATTATCAGTCGTTAGAAAATAAAATTGGGTAATAGTTTCAATATCAACTTACATCCTTCTCTTCGAGGTTATCAATAGAATACGTAAGCTGCTCTTTATTTCCACCCTCTTCAAAGCTTGCCTCGCCATTTTCTAAGTTCCAGCTCACATATAGAAGCACAGAGTAAGAGAATAAAATTTTCTATGGTAAAATTGATGGATGAAAATTTTCAATGGTTTTTCTTTGACATGAATAACAAAACAGAACATATGAATAACAAATAGCGAACTCAACGAGTAATAAAAACCTGAAGGCCTGCTTAAAGAAGCTGACGACTTGGAGGCATTGAGGTTGACCTGCTTAACTGCATAGGCTGCAATTGACGCAGCAACCAGGAAACCTAACCTGACTATCATGTAGGTATTGCTGATAGAAGAATTCTCTGCTTCCACTCATCTACAGAAATAAAGCAATCCCAGAACAGCCCACAACCCATTTCTCTTCAACCCCATTACTAACAAACTCAAGCCATCGTTTCCTTCAAACCCAGAATCAAAAGTTTCTGGATAAAAGCATACGAAGGATAATGTTACTGCAATTATCAAGAAAAACCCAGGTTTAAGAACTTGACCATATTTACATAAACTAATAGAAATATCCACCTGAAAACATTAATGTATCAGCAACATTATCATCTTATCAATTTTATGGGCCTTTCAAAAAAATTTCTTGTATGTATAAAAGTCCTCACTCAGTAGAATTCCGACATAACTGTCATGCTAAGAGCTACAGGAACCACTAATAACCAGTGGCCAGCTTTGCTCCAAAAGGATTGACAAATACGCATGTAGAATTGCTCTAAAAACTTACCATTTAGCTTTAGAGGAACCATAGACAGTTAAAACCAGCCAAATCCAAGAAGTGAAAGAGACATTAGCAACTGTAATTTTTCTCATTTTCCGCTAATCAGCTAGATTTTGTAAAGTGCCATAAAAGGAATATGTAACTAAGCATTTCACTTCACTTCTTGTTTAAGTTAACTTGTCATTGTAATATTACCACGAGATGGGTTTTAAATGGGGTAACAGAAGTTCTGAATGAAAATTTCAGTTGGATAAATATTTGTAGGAGTTCACCGAATTAAACTTTCTACTTAGTGAAACCCAACTCAGACAGGATATTAAATGACAGACCAAATCACAACCGTCAACTCTACCTCCTATGTGGATAATTAATTTCTATTAGCACAACATCCACACAAGAAATCTTTGATTAAGGATCTTCATTATCGTCTGGTTCTGATTCAAAGAGCATAAATTTATAGCCATCAGATCAAGTTTGTCCTGCAGGGAGAGAAGACCTACATAGTACTGATCTTGGACTAAAAAAACGCAGATTATCCAACTACATCATGACATGAGTAGTGAGGACAGATTAACAAGCCGTGGGTCCCTTCCAAAGGAGTTTTCTTTTCTTATGCTACCCACAAGAATCAGAAAAAGAGAAAAGTAAAGTGAGGCTGAAATTTAATTCCCAGCCTTTTAGTTACTGGACGCGAGCGCATATCAAGATGTAGCCAAACATAAAAGAAGGCAAACCAAACTTTTAGGAGGGGTTGACCTCACATGTTTGGTTTCTTGGCTCTAATCTAAAACCCTAGTAAAAATTAGCTCTCTGCTTGTTAAGCCAAACAGTTGTTGGAGAAGATAATGTTAAAGTACATCCCTTTCATCTGTCTCTTTCTTTCCTTTGGCTTCTTCTGAAATGAAAGAAGTGGGATTAGCATATACAGATATGAATGAATTCATAACCACACTTCTACTGTAGAAGGAAAAAGAAAATCAATAACCCCACTTAACAAAACCATAAAAAGAAAATATTCACTGCTCCACATCTTCCTTTTTATTTTAACTATTCAGTGAGGAAAGTTATTTCATTATGAACAATTATTATAGTAATTACTCGGTTAAATTAATAAAGCACGAATTAAATAAGAGTACAGTAAGCAGATAATATAAATTAAGAGAAAAATGTGAAACCCCAATAAATCTTCACTGAATTTTTACTCGTAATGAAAAAAGAAAAAAAATAATAATCTCCCCTGAAAGATGCAAACAAAATGAAGAGCTAGGATTCCATAAGCGATGGTGACACATGGTGCCAGCGAGCGGCAGACAAGTGGACACCACGTGGTTTTATTGATCGTGATATCCCCATTGTCCGGCCGATGAATTTGTAGGCGTGAACTTCTGAAAGAATGAATGGGAAAGAAACAGATAAAAATCCTTTTCTTTTTATATCTAGTAGTGGGCTCCATTAGCAGAGTAACAGCTGAAGAAAATATTATCCAAAACGCCCAGAGGCTTCTGGGTCTCGAATGATTTGCTTGTTTTTCAGAATCGTGTTTGTTTGTTGACATAAAAATAAAATGGTGAGAAAAGGGTCAAAAGAGAGAAATTACAGATCTTCTTTCACAAGAAATTGGAGTCCTAACAAACAGCTCTTATAGAGAGGAAGACGATACTTCCTTATTCACTGCATCTCTCATGAATTTCATCATACACATGGCCTGCCATTTGTGCCTACTACGTAGACCCAAACTCCGTGTGCAATTGAAGAGTAAGTTACACGGGGGAAAGAGAAAAATTAAGCATACCTGCTAAAGATCAGGATAGTTTTCAAATGTGGTTTATGGGAAAACGAAGAAATCGCTGCAAAAATTACCTCCCATGTAATTTCTTGTGAAAGAAGATCAATGGGTGAGGCATTGAAGTGCCAATGCAATGCGAACTATTTATTGGCCCCTGATCTTTTACTTCAGAATTCCATCAAAACTGCTGTTGATAACAAAAATTGACTAATCCGTTTCATTTCGTCATTATGGGTATTAAAGATAATAATAATAGATTTTCCCATTAGCGTCCCTAATTTCTAATCACCATAGTAAGACTGTTCTACTTTTGGAAACATGATCTACCTCTTTCCCCTTTTGTTCTAGCCGTTTAGCGGTAAAGGCTATTCTTAATCCAGTGTTTATAAATGAAGATTAATTATTGTTATAAACACTGATACTGAGATATCCACCAACAAATCAGACACTGCACAGTATCCCATTATCCATTCCATATTCAACTTAAAATTAAATTAAACATTCTTTTGATTTCTCATTGTATACAAATCCATTGTAATCGACTCAAATATGCACATAAATATCAAGTACAATGAATTTATGTATCTTAAGTAATCTAAAACTATTATGAGAATAAAACAATCTTACTAAAAGCAATTGAGGCAACCATACACAATTACGTCAAGAAAATACTAACCCCAAAAAATATGGAGAAACAAACAATGTGCTATCTCATGAACCTCGTTGCGACGCTCTCTAACATATAAAGCATATTCAACTCAATTTTCACTCAGAACTTTAAAATATTTTTGTTACATAGACAATCAATACACAAGTAATTCCCATGAAAACCTACTTCAAATGACTATGTTTTTCCGCGATATAACAAGCCAATCCAGCAGTAATTTCCATGAAAGCCTGCATCAAGATTGCTCAATTATTCTACAAGTTCAGTTAGAAATAAAATAGCAGAAGTGCTCCTCATTTACATCACCAATATTCGTATTAATTTACTCAATTGCTTGATCGACTTTTAATAGATACATCGCAAGAGAAAAAAAAAAAATTATCAAAAAGCCTTCTTACCGGAGCATCACAAGTGGAAAGTTATAAGAAAAACCTTATTTTACTTAAATCCAAACAGAGACCTTCTACATAGATCCTCAAGCAATAACTTTCCTGAGCTATCCCCATATGCACTCTACTATTAAGGGATTAAGAAATTTAAGCTTGGTCATCCCATTTCCATCTCCGTCCCACCTCCTCAAGAACCTTGGCTCGAGCTTGACTTTTCCTAGCTTCATCTTCCACCCATGATCTGCATTAATTATCTCAAATGATGAGAGAAAATTTCACCTACAAAAACTCAATAAAGAAGTAGCAACTCTTCTGCAATCATTCCAAAGTTGAGAAAGGTCCAAACAATTCAAATAGACGCAATGTTTGGAACAAATTCAAAAATATTGTGAAATTCATTTGCAAATATAGAGTTATTTCAACTAAGAACATGACAAAAAATTAACCTAATATACAGAATTCTATTTGGGATTGGAACAATGATCTCCAAATTTCATCAATTTGACGGAATTTATAATACATCATTCTAATTTTATATAAAATTTTAGACAATGCTGTCTTTTTATCATTTTAGAAGAATCTTACTGTTTTCTAATTGAAAATGAGAGGATTTGTAAATGAATTCGACAAAGCTTTCGGGTTTGTTCTAGACATGGTCTTAAGAATTTTTTTTTATTGGGGAGATAGGAGAGCTATAAGTTATCCTAATGGAAATTGGCACCAGACGCACTATTTTCAATAGGCACTAGGGTTTGTTTTTCTCAAGTGTGATCTCATAATTATAAATAAAAACTAGAAATTTAATAGTAAATGATATATGAGTAAGGCGCCCAAATTTAGATGGGAGCACCACATAAAGTCCCTATAACTATATTAGTGAAGTTTATTTCTCAAATTTCTGCAATATAATATTATATTTACCTAAGAATCCGAATAGCTTCTTTCTCAGCTTCAAGTATAGATTTTTTATCAAGCAGTTCTTCTTGCCTTGACAGCAGATCACTGAGCATATACTGTAATTTACCCTTCTCAGCCACGTAGGTAGCACTCTCAGATGCAAGCCTTTCAGACATCTGATCAACCTCTTCTTTCAGACTGAAAAGTAACTGTCTCTGACAATCCATGGCTGCCTTTTCTTTTAAGTGTTCCGCAAACTGCTTCTCTTGAATAGTCTTCTCTTCTTCTAAATCACGAAGCATCTCATGATAAAGATTTTCCACCTCGGATCCACGTTGCCTCTCTTCATACAATTTCTCATCCCAGAACTTTCGTATATCTCCTTTATCAAGCAACTGGAACCTAACCTGGTCCATCTCAGCTTGCCTTGACAAATTCTCTGCTTCTTGTCTTAATAATTCAGTAGAGACTGCTTCCACCATTCTGCCACTTGTCAATGCAACTGCTGCCTGTGCCTTCGTTGAAGGTTTATTTGGTTGAAGTCGCTTGCTCTGCCCTAAAAAATTCAAACTTTGACATGAAATCACCGTCTTATATGTGATTGGCTGGAATTTCAATTTTACATGAAATAAAACGATTAATTTCCCAGCACAGAATAGACTAAAACATAGACGAGAACATAAAGGATGCAGTCACTCGTGAACGCGAGCTTATTGTGCTGAACATTTTCTCCATGTTTTTTTTTTTTGAAATAAAAGAGTGGTATATATTAACATTGTTACCAAGGGGGTACCACCCATCTATTATGCGTTTACATTTCAATTAGGTAGTCAATGACATCCTCAAAATTTTCTAAGTTTTTGATGTCATGGCCAAGGAACATATACCCAAAAGTATGAATCCTTCCGTCGCTAATGTTAACAAAATATTTTTCAATCATCTCAAAAGCTCTTGCATTTCTCGCATTCCATACCACTCAAAAGATCGAGAGAGGGATAAGAGATAGGTGATTCTTTTTTTTGCACAGCCCCACCCATGCCCACGTTTCGTCTTTCACAGAACCCACCATTACCCACTGTATCCCAAACAGCCTGTAGATCATGGTCAATAAACTATACACCATTGGGCACCACAGTAATAGGTGGTTGCATGATTCTGCACTTGACTTACACATAAAACAACGGTTTACCATGCACCAGCCCCTTTTCATCAGCATCTCAGTTGTCAAAATGCCACCCTTGCATGCTTCCCATATAAAGAATGCCATTCTTGATGGTACATTTCTCTTCCAAATCTGTTTAAATGGGAAGACAGGAGGACCACTAATCATCCCATTAATTAGCTGTCTGTAAAATAATTTGACTGAAAAAGATTCATTTTTTTCAAGCTTCCAATACCTTTGATCTGGCTGGTTGGCCAGATTAGAATGGGACACATAAAACAGCAATTGTTGATATTCATCCACTTCCTAGTCATTCAAGTTCACCATCTTGTGCAATTCAGAAAGTTTTGCCTTCCCATTACAATCTTCTTCCAAAGGCTTCTACCATGAGGTCTCACAGCTCCTCTACTGTCATCTCCCACACTTCCTGCACCCCATCTAACCTCCACCACCCTCTTCCATAGAAAATCTCCTTCACTATTGTACCTCCACAACCATTTGTCATGTGATGCATTATTCATTTGTACCATGGATCTTAATCCCAAACCTCCCACGCCAAACGGTCTTATTACATCCTCCTATCTCACCAAGTGGTACCTTCGTTTATCCACCTCATCACCTCATAAGAACCGGCATTGGATCATTTCAATTTTCTTGGCAATCTTGGCTGGAATGATTAGTACAGAGAGGAAATATATAGGTAGATTGGCCAATGTGCTTTTAATCAAAGTGAGTTGACCACCCTAGATAGTTAGTGCCTCTTCCAACCCACAAGTCTCCTCTCAAACAGTTGGGTCCCTTTTCCTCCCATGTTTATAGTTATTATATGAATAATACACTACGGCAAGTCTCCATAGCTTTACTTTTTTGTTTTCCCTGTACATAGGTTTTGGCTTGCGTTTGTTCTCGACACATTGCTATTCATTCCACTGGCTAAAGAAAATCTCATTTCATTATTTTCAGTAGTGATCGACAACAACATGCTTTCACATAAGTCACCACTAACAAGTAAGCTCCAAAAATAATGTGAAGTTCTAAAGTAATATTACTCTGGCTGAATGCAAGTTCACTTCATATTTATGGATCATAAGTTTTCTAATGACCAAAAAACCCTAATCCAATAGCAAATAGTGTGAAAGGATCTAGGCAAAAACATTGCATGGAGACGTTGAGGAGAATAGAGAGATATTGAGGATACCAAAAACTCTTCGGATTATGCTCTTCTCACCGGCTGCCATGTCCATAAAAAGTTCTGGAGATGCATCAGAAGAAATCTCCTTCACATCCATATAATCCACTTTTGTTCTTGATATCTGGACTGCAACCGAGTCAGGTTTTAAGAGCCTTGAAAGATTTGTGAAGCATTAACTTAATTCATTGTTTAAATAAAACCAAGGAACATGTCAACAAAGATTAGATTAAAAAGTTTCTTGTATCTCTTCTTTTCTCAAAAAAAAAAAAATCTTTGTACCTCCTCTATAATTCCCGGCTTCAATTCATACTCTAGTTGGGCTTTCCAATTTATCAAATCCTTTCGAGAGATAAACCTACAGCACCAGAAATGTTTCAGTACATGATAGTGATTAACAACCAGTTATAAAGCTGAAATGTGATACCTTTCAGGAAAAAAATTGATGCTTCGTGGGCCATTTGAACTGCTAGAGTTGAATGTGTTCCCTGGCAGCTTGCTGCAAATGATACCTGCCTCTGCTAGTGCTAAAGTACATACCAAAAATCCACCAATAAGATCTTTTATCATAAACACCCTTGACAAGGCATGCAAGAACCAACAGCAAGAATTAGAACTTTTACCTTGTATGGACTCAAAATCTGGGTCCTCAACACCGACATCATCAAATGCAACAACTAACGACCCAGATAAAGATACTGACGGATTGATCCTCTGCGTCATATTCCTGCAAGCCAAAAATTTTCAGAGCCAAAGTACTAAAATATTTAACATATTCTGAAAATTTTACCATCAAGAATTCAAGGAAAATTATTACCTCTCCAATAATGAGTTTGTATGCACTAGCCATCTTGCATATTCACGTCTAGTGCACAATTCATCAGCCCTTACACCATCTTCAACTATCTGTATACTTCATTTACAGTTAAGTCATGCTTATAACTGGACCTAAAGCTCTATCAACATATAGAACATGCTTCTAGAATCGAACCTTCAGTTTCTTTAAAACCAATAAAGCTTCCTGTTGAGTAGGATCTACACCAATTGATACAATAACCCGTTCAACTTTTTCTACAGGTGCTGAAGGATTTGAAGAACATATTAGAAATATATATGTCAAAAATTATAATGAGGAATTCATGAAATTTTTGTCTATGTTGTTGCAAAAATAAGAATTGTAGATTTTCAGGCCCCTCGTGATTTTTTTCTTTTAATTTGGTCAGTCCACAAAGATTGCACCATCAGAAACTTCTCAAGAAAATGCGACCCCCATTCATAGAAGGCAAGTTTCCTTCATAACAAGACCCCAAGCCTCCAGTTTTATAGATATATGTTCTCTTTTATCCTCTTTAGAACAAGGTGGAGTGGAAGGAGTGGTATAAGTAAGCCAAAGCATGTTTTTGCAGTTTTATTTACAGAGAATGCATTCACAAACAATCTTTTAAAAAGATTACCGATCTTTGGAACATATATCGCTAACCTTTAAAGATGGTCTGAAAAAATGAACCATGACCCTATATTCTTTTTCAAGCAAAAATTTGCATCTTGAAGCTAAAAGTATTAGAATAGATCTCAACCCAGTATCTTAGATGATAAATACACAAAATAACCATTTTGAACTTTTTAACAATGTTTCTTGTTTCCTACTGTTAACCACATTATGCATTTAAGTAAAGCATAGATAATATAAGCCACCTGCCTTTAGTGTAAAGTTAAAAACACAGGTGCAGGTTGAAAGAATCTATCAATGAAGAATTAATAATCTTCATGGTACCAAATGCAGGTTAATTATGTACTGATTTGCTTATCATTCACTTCCACTAAAAGAACTCTCTTTGAGTTTAAACTTAGTAGCATTAGAGATAAACAATAACATTTGAAAACTGTTTGATTTACATGTACCTGAAGTAACAGTTCCATTAGTAGCATCAGGTTGATGTTCCAAGCCTGCCTCAGACACCATCCTCTTCTCATCAGCTAAAATAGGCTCCTCTCTTTCTCTTTTAGTATCTCTCGTCTCAGTCCAACTTAAAACTCCATGTAAAGTATGTATTGGACTACTGAACTGAAACCTAAACCCTGCAAATAGCATGCAATAATTCTACTTATACGCCAATTCATTGTCTGAAACCAGCACATTAAACAAACAATCAGAAACCCATTTGCACGAGATAACTCATTAATAAAGTTAAAACTAGAACACAGGTTTACCATAAACCAACAAATTAAGGCAACTTTTGCTTGAAATACGAACCTTTCCTTGAGATTAAGAAGTAAGCAACAGTAGCCAGAAGAACAGCCAGTGAAGACCCTATTCCGCCTATCACAATGGTGCGAATTCCTAAGTAAAACGCCAATTCCCATCAGTAGTTTATCAAGAAAATAAAGGGATCTGAAAAATGATATTAGACATAAGTTTAATTCAAAACAAAACTTAAAAGAGAAAGGGAAAAAAAACCTCGGCTCTTCTTCTGGTATTGAAGAGGAGTATCAACAATTGCCCAACCACCGTACTTGTTGTCAATTGATTTGGGCTCAGGAGGAAACCAGGAGAGATCGAGGCGATTTGACTGAGTGAGAGAAGCAGAGAGATGCAGAATTCTAGGGATTTTGGACCTAGAATTTAGAACAAATGATCCCGAGGAAGTGAAGAATAACAGATTGCGACGCCGTCGTAGAAGGGAGGGAATGTCTGCGGGGACGACGAGAGAAGAATTGGGCATAGCAAATGAGCACATTTCTTCCGGTTTGGGTTGAAGAGAATTTAGGGTTTGGATTTGGAGTTCAGATTAGCAGGTAGCATCGTAGCATTGTCTGTTTTTCTTCGTTAGTGAAGCATAAGGTTGAACCGGGAAGACGGCAGTATCTTCATGTTTTCCCCCGAGAACGTTGTGTTTTCTTGAGACGCAAGTGGGCAATTTAATCTTTTCAGATAAATCTTTAATTATAATGTTTAAGAGGAAGTTGACAAAATACCATATTTTTATATAATTAAAATTAATTATATAATATATAAATTACAGTTAATTAAAATTTTAACTTTATTTTTATATTTAAAAATTTTAAATTCTAAATAAATAACTGTTATATATATATACATTATTTAAATTATTTTTATATTTTAAAAGATAAAAAAGATAAATATTACGTATACTAAATTTTATTTTTTTATTTTAAATTTAAATAGATAATATTTAAAATTTTATCTCTATATAATATATATAATTATAATTATCAGATTAAATTTTTTTCATATTTTAAAATTTAAATGGATAATATCTAATATTTTATTTTTATATAGAATATATATTTATAATTAATATTAGTATTATGTTATTTCAAAAAAATAAGAAAATGTCATGTAGAATTTTTCAGTAATCTTTTTTTACATGTTAATTATTATTTTTGATTATTTTTTATCTTCTTAATATATATAAATTTTTAATATATGATGTTTAATTTAGTAGATAAGATTATTTAACTCATTAATATGTTAATGAAACTATAATGATCAAATTTGACTAAATTTCAGCTAATTTTGATCTATGACAGTTGAATTATTTTAATTAAGGTAGACACAACGGGTTAAAATTTAACCTAATTTTTTATTTCTAAAAAAATTGATATGATCTTTTTTTTTTAATTTTGCTTCACTAATTTTATTTAACTATAAATAAAAAAAAGAATAAAAATATAATTATGAACCATTTGTTTAAAGTTAATGAAATTAGTTAAGGCGGGATTATATTTATTACTATAGCTAAGGACAATAAATAATTATCACAATTAGAACAGAAATATTTTGACAATACTGATAGCATTAGAAAAGATAATGTTATGATAATAATAATTTTTTATGTACTTTGAATTATTATGTATAAAATAAAATAAAATAAATTTATTCTTGAGACTAAAATCAAATATCTTAAATAAATTCAATAATTATTGTACAAAAAAAATTATAAAAAAAATATAATATTTTTGATAGTATTACTTAAATAAAAATTTAAAATTTATCTCAAATTTTTGGATCGATTTTGGATGAAACAATAAAAACTAAGTAAAATTGTAATATAATTTATATAGTTTAAGTTCTAGAAAACATATGTTGATAATATATATTTTAAGTTTAGAAGATTCTTAGGTAATATATTTTTATTATTTGTTTTGTTCTAATAATTCATTATTTAACAAATATTTATGTAGCTCTATATAAAGATTTATAAGAAAAGAAAATCTGTCAGTTGTCAAACTCATTGAAGTGATATGAAGAATGAAAGAATTTGGTATAAATTTTTGAATATTTAGTTAATAAAGTTTGGTTAAATAAAGAACAATATGATTTTGCATAGTAAAAATTATAGAGATATGTAGAGGATAAAAGCTGAGCATTCAAGTTTCAATTTTGGATTTTAGGTGTTACATGTCTAGCGGAAATAAAGAATTCATAAGGGTTTCTAATTTTTACAAAGAAACAATTGATAAGAAACCAAATTTTAGGGCATTATAGAATCTAGATGTGAAGAGAATGAAGCACACGATGTGCTTGATAATGGAAGACATTTTCATTATTTTTAACGTTTTGCGGCCAACGAGAGATTTATTTGGTTCGAAGAAGCAGTTGGGATTGTTGAATGAGAGTATTGCTTGAACACAAAGATGACACAAGAATCCACATACTACCAAATAAGAGCATATAGATTTAGCTTAGACTTACTTGCATCTCAAGTGATAGTAAGGAAGACATACATATGAACTATTTGCATTGTAAATGACTCAATAACCTTTGAACAATATAAGAAAAAGATTTCTAAATAAGGAAGTTGGTGTAACACCCAATTTATTTTTTTTATTTTTTATTTTTTTCTTATTTATTTTAATATATATATTAGAATTTTAGTTTAATTTTTTAATATTTAATTTATAAAATTTTAATTTAATTTAATTTAATTTAATGAAAATAAAAATAATAATAATGATAAAATATGGTAAAATTATTTTTTGGATTTAATTGAAATTGATTTTGAAAAAAATGGGTGAAAATTTAGATTCTGGTGGTGTTTTTGAAAAGAAAATCGGAAATCGATGGTCAAAACGCAATTTAGAAAAGTTGTGTCATGTCAGCAGCCACGTTAGCAGCCCAGTCAGCGGCTCCGGCCAACCAGAACACGCCGCGTGGTAAGGAAGCTGACGCGGGAGACCACGCGGATGGAGCCACGTGAGCGATCAGCGTGCACGCGATCGAACGGTTCAAATCTCACGCGTGCGGACGGCCCAGATCTCACGCGCACGGACGGCCCAGATCTCACGCGTACAGACAGCCCAGATTGAATCACGCACTGACGGTCCAGATCGCATCGCGATGGACAGTCCAGATTTATTCTTATTTTAATGGCGATCGGACTGCCCAGATTAAATCGTGATGGACGGCTTAGATTAAAAAGGAAATGTTATAAATAACCTCACCCACACCTAACCCCAAACCCTAGCCGCCTGTAACGACCCCGGAAATATTAAAATGAAATGAGTATTTAAATATATCAAATGCGGAAGCGAGATCAAAATTTCAGTTAACATCCCTTACACGAAAACCAAAAACGTACTTAAAATATAAAAGGTTAAACTAACTAAAAGAGAAACTCGAAAATAAAGCTATGAGTATGACTACAGAGTCTCTAGGCATCCCTTTCGTCGTCCTCCTGCGGAACGGGCTCGGGAACCATATCTTCCTGATCTGAAATGGTTAAATAAGGAGTGAGCTACACTAGCCCAGTAAGAACATCACGATATCTCACCGTCACGGAGGTAAAGGTGGGTAGAAAACACAAAGGACCCATGGAGCATGTTTTACAACAAATCCTTTTATTTATGATAAAACCTTTACCATCCACTTACCTCGGTGGAATTTATGAAACATATAGAAAACA